CCTGTATCTCGGGCTCCACGTAGGAGGTTATTAAAAACCAACCTCAACCCCAAAGGGAAAAAGCCACAGTGGCCGCCTGCCAAGAGGGTAACCAAGGCCAAGAGATGGAATTACACTGGTTTCTGGCTTTTCTTATAATAAAACTAGGAGCAGCCAATGTTGGCTAACTCTGTATAGGCTTTTGCTCAGACAAACCGAGAAGCAGCTGAGCGGAGACGTACTCTTAGAGGGCATCTCTCTCTGAGAAAGAGATCCTGAATCAGGGGACGTGGGTTCCAGTCCCGGTCCTACCACTGACCCTAAGGCCAGCTTGGGGCTCCAGTTTCCTCCCTGTGCCTGTTTCCCACAAAAGAAAGGGAAGATCTCTAAGCTTCCTTCTGATCCATCAAGACTATAATGTGAGTACACGAGGGTGAAGGTGGTCTTCTCCCCTCACTCCCCACTATGGACTGAACTGTGTGGCCCCCCAAACACAAATTCATATGTTGAAGTTCTAACCCCCAATGTGATGGTATTTTGAGATAGAGCCTTTGGGAAGTGATGAGATTTAGATGAGGTCATGAGGGTGGGGCCCCCATGATGGGATTATTGCCCTTATGAGAGGAGATACCAGAGAACTTGTTCTTTCTCTGCCATGTGAGGACACAGTAAGAAGGCAGCAGTCTGCAAGCCAAGAGAAGGGTTCTCACCAGAGTCTGACCATGCAGGCACCTTGATCTCAGACCTCTAGCCTCCAGAACTGTGAGAAAATAAATTTCTGTTCTTTTTTTTTTTTTTTTAAAGATTTATTTATTTATTTTCACCCCAAAGCCCCAGTAGATAGTTGTATGTCATAGTTGCACAGCTTTCTAGTTGCCGTATGTGGGACGCGGCCTCAGCGTAGCCGGAGAAGCGGTGCGTCGGTGTGTGCCCGGGATCCGAACCCGGGCCGCCAGCATCAGAGAGCACGCACTTAACCGCTAAGCCACAGGGCCGGCCCTAAATTTCTGTTCTTTAAGCCACCCAGCCCATGGTACTTTGTTAAGGCTGCCTGAGCAGACTACAACACTCCCTTCGCCTTGCTCAAGGCTGCTTGCACCCTTTGAAGTCCAGCTGGGGCATCAGTCCTGGACAGGCCTTTGCAGACCCACCTGCAGTGGCCCCTCAGGGCCAGGATTCCCAGGGCTCCATGGCTTGTGGCTCAGATCCTGTCAGCACCCTCCACTTGCCAGAAGAAGGGAGGCTCCCTAGGGCAGCCCTTGGGCTCCTGAGTCTGACACCTCCCAGGGTGGCCTATCTCTAGGGCCCTTCCAAAGGGATCAGGGCTGGCTCTGGAAGGTGAGTCTCCTGGCAACAAGTCCGGGCCCTACCTCAGCTCTCTCCTCAGTGTGCGGCAGTCTGCCTGCGGGAGGTAAGACCATAATGAGAGTACCTTAGGGGTTTGTGGCAATTTACAAGTTCCTACAGCACTTCGATGACTGTCTCTCCCTGTGTCACATGGCAACCCTGAGAGAGAGGCAGAATGACCATTCCCAGTTTCCAGATGTGCAATCAGATCCAGAGAGGGTCAATTCCTTTGCCCAGGGTGGAAGCTACAAGATTTAAACCCAACCTTTGGGCTCTTAGTTCAGTATTCTTTCTACTCTGCCACACTGTTTCTCAGATCGGTGCACAGATAGCCACAGGGTGAGGCTGGCTCAGGAGAACACTGTGGAGAGGTCCTGACCAAGCCTGCAGGTGGCGGAGCAGAGGAGCTCCCAGCAGGCAGGGAGGGCAGGAAGCTCCCCATGGGGCATGATGTTGGCCATGGAATGGGTTTCCACCAGCAGAGGTGGAATAGGGAGGTTGCCCTAAGTGGAAACAGGATGGGCTGGAGATACAGGGCTTTCTCAGAGAATAGGGGGACTCACCCTCCTGAAGAACTGGAGGGAGCAGGGAAGACATGGGGTGGGGCTCAAGAGCTGGAGGAAGGGGTTCTCCAACACTGCCAAATCAAGGAGCGCAACTGGAAATTTATTTGGGGAGATGGTAGAAAGCCACTGAAGATTACTGAGCAGGGAATGGACCCTGTGCCAGGTGCCACAGGATAAACAGACAGGTGGTCTCTGACCATTCACTCTCTCACTCATTAAACTTCATTGAGCATCTCCATGGGCCAGGCCTGGGAACTCAGACTCCAAATAAGACCTGGTCTCTGATCTCCAGGAGCCGGCAGGCCAGTGGGCTGTGTGTTCTGTGCACGTCTAGCCGGTGGAGTCTTTCCTGGTGCTGGGATGCCCTTGTACCAGGTCTATCTCAGGGAAATTGCCAGGAGCTAGAGAGAGGAGGAGGCCTCTCAGCTGCAGCTCATAGAAGAGACTACTCATTTCCTCCCCACCTCACTCCCTAGTCTGGGCATCAACCCCCCAAGGCAAGGAAAGCTCCTGGGGAGAATCTGGGTAATCACAACTTGGGGGCCAGGGGGCCAAGAGGAAGAAATGATGGGCTTCACCCTAGAGGCCAGAGAGCCCCTGGTGCCTGCAGGGGTATGGGGGTAAGTGTCCACTTCGTTCCCGGGCCCTGGGAACCTGGGCCTGCTCTGCATATATCAGAGAACCCTCTGGAAAGTGAGTGAAAGGTTCTTCAGGCCACTTGCTATCAAGACCCTAAGTGGAGGCTGCCTTTATGAAGGGCCAAGGACACCCTTATCTGCAGGGCCAGGGCTGGCTGAACCCCAGCTGGCTCCGCATCCAAAGCCCAGCAGGCTTTACTAAAAAGGTGTAGTCATCGGGGCTGGCCCGGTGGCTCAGCGGTTAAGTGCGCACGCTCCGCTGCGGCAGCCCGGGGTTTGCAGGCTCGGATCCCAGGCGCAGACCGATGCACCGCTTGTCAAGCCATGCTGTGCAGCATCCCATATAAAGTAGAGGAAGATGGGCACGGATGTTAGCCCAGGGCCAATCTCCCTCAGCAAAAAGAGAAGGATTGGCAGCGGATGTTAGCTCAGGGCTAATCTTCCTCACACACACACAAAAAAAGGTGCAGTCATGTCACAAGGCTCTTTGTCATCTAGCATAGAGCTGGGAAACATACATCCCAACCCCCGGTTAACTATGGCCACACTGAAAACATAGCCCATTGTTACAGGACAGGGCAGCCAGACTGAATCATCCTGGAACAGACAGAAAGTCCTCAATTAGGGGAATAGCTCAAGGCATATGTATCTGCTGGTGGGTCTTATGTACCACCATTCCCGAGGATAATTCTAACCCATCTGATCATCTCATGAGTTTTCATATAGACACAACCATATATAAATATATACTTATCAAAATTCGCTTCTAATTGCATTGTTGATCATCTACTCATATGGATGATGTCGCTGTACCATTATAAACACTATAAATAAGAAAACGGGTGACATTTAAAAGTGTCAGTGGGGGCCGCCCTGGTGGCGTAGTGGTTGAGTACACGCACTCCACTTTGGTGGCCTGGGGTTGAGTGTTTTGATCCTGGGCATGGACCTATACACTGCTCATCAAGCCGTGCTGTGGAGGCGTCCCATATACAAAATAGAGGAAGACTGGTACAGATGTTAGCTCATGGCCAATCCTCCTCACCAAAAAAAAAAAAAAGTATCAGTGGCATAACCCACATGTGGACCTAGGGAGGGAGGGAGAGGGGGCATGCAATTGTAAGGAGAAGGGGCAGCATTAGTTTGGAAGCGCATGAGACATTCCTAGAAGTCCTGCAACCACCATGTAGTCAGCTCTTGATTATGACAGTAATGGGGAGGACAAAAGAAGGGCATGAATAATCTAAGATGATGAAGAATGAAAATAAACCAATAAAAAACTGTGCATCTGGCTTTGGCATGCAGTCAAACGTAGATGCAATTTGACACAGCCATCCTCTCTCTGCACCCCAATGCCCAGACCGTCCCTGTGCTGGCTGGAGCAGCAGTCCAGGAGGCAGCTGGGCAGGCAGCCACATGCAAGCCATAAAATGGATAACCCATTTGCCAAGACTCAAGAATCTACCCCAAACTAGCAAAACATTTTCTCACTGGCCATATAGTTAGAGAGGCACGCCCAGCTGTGCAGTCAGCTCACCTGCCCACATGAATGGACAACATAAAAAAGTGGATAAATTAGGTTGTGACCACAATTGTATCAGGGGTCAGGGACTTGGCCCTATAACCAGAAAGATCAGCTGGATGAGGTACGTAAATTCTAGTCCATTTCCTCCATTTCTGATCCCTTCTCTCAAAATGACTATTTTTTAAGTCTTTGTCCATTTGGAAATAGGACTGCAGGGCAGAAAACACAGCATCCCTGAGTGAAGGAGAGAGGGAGGTCTGGGAGCTTTTTTTTTTTTTTTTTTAAATTAATGGACACAGGAGTTGGGACCGGCTGCAAGGAAATATGTACCCAGGAAACATCCCTGCCAACTTCTCCATCTGCTGCCAGATTTCGGGATGGGGGAGGAAAGGTTTCTCAGGAGCCTCCCCTCCTCCCAGAACTGACTTTGGAGTCACACGGAGCAGAGTCTGACCTCACCACTTAATAGCTGGTAACCTTAGGCTCTTGACTTAATCTGAGCTGCAACTTCCTCGTCGCAAAATAGGGATTCCACAGGGTTGCCAGAATGCAAGAATATGTGTGCTTAGCACAGTACTCGGCCTGAAATCAGCAGTCAGTAAGGGGACCCCATTATTATTATTCTTGTGCAATGCAGGCTGGCTACCACTTTCTGCCAGATTAGGGGTAGAGAATAGAGAGCCAGGAAGTAGGCTCTGTCCAGCTTCAAAATGACTGCAAGGCAGACTGTAGAAATAGGAAAAAGCTGTCTCCGAGTGGGGGAAGGAAGCTAGGGGCAGGGGGAGCAGCACCAGGGCTGAAATCACTGAGAGGCCTCAAGGCACATTCACACCGCCCAGTGAAACCCGGAGAGCAGACGCATGCGCATGGTACCGTCAGTTACTGTACCCCACCCATGGATGCCTGGGCCAAGTCCCGCTTGTCGCCGGACCTCAGGACACTCACTGGCACAAGTCTTCCCATCACTGCGGAGCGTGTGTCCCTCGGGACACTGACAGGCGAAGGATCTGTCGGTGTTGACACAGGAGTATTCGCAACCATGGTCGCTCAGCAAGCAATAATCCGCCCCTGCAAAACCCAACAGCCAGGGGAGGTCGTCAGCGAGGCCTCTGGGCTGCCGATGATGGGGCCCGAGTGACCGTCATTCTTATCCCCCGCCCAGGGAAGGCATGCGGTCCCCAGTGGACAGCCCCATGATCTCCCTGGAGCAGAGGACGGAGGGGACCGCAACCTGCCGTCCTCTGCAGTCAGCACGTTTTTCACTCCTGTTGCAAACCTTTTCCCTGTAAGAGAAGCACGGAGGGGCACTCACGGGAGCAGGTCTTGAGGTCCTCGTTGATGAGGAAGCCTTCGGAGCACTGGCAGACGAAGGACTCCTCCGTGTTCAGACACAGCTGCTCACAGCCATGGTCCTGCTCCGCGCAGTGATCCACCCCTGCGTTTGTCACACACGAAAACATAAAGTAACCAGAGGAGGCAATGCCCACCAGGAAGGGGGGATTAGAAAACAAAACCTCCTCAATAAAAAAAAAGAAAGTTTTATTGGAACATTAAAAAATAATAATAAAATAAAATCACTAAAAAAAAAAACGTCTTCGGGAGGGAGCACTGTGGAAGGTGCTGAGGGTTGCTTTCTTAAAGGAATGTGTTGAGAAGTGGAGGAGTTGATAAACAGACATAAAGCCCTCAGAACAGCAGCTAGCATACAGTAATCACTTACTGAATGCTTATTATTAATAAGTGTTGCTGGGAAAGAATTGCATAGTTTCATTTATATCTGAAAATGAAAAGTAAAAAGTGTTTTTATCCCCCGTAACCAGGACACCCAGATTCAGAAAACAAACCAAAGCCAGGGCCTGCATGTGTGGCCGATCCTGGCCCGCGAGCGCTGCACAGCTGGCCCCGCAGTGAACACACAGCTGTGGCGAATGGCTCCCACAGACAGCCCTGCAGGCTGCCTCCCAGATTTCCTTGATGGAGAAAATGCACCCCCAGAGACTAGAGAGACACCGGAGGCCTTGTGCCGGGCCATCAAGTGGGCCTCTTTGACTCCTGCAGGACCTGGGACTGGTGTCCTCTGGAACATTCCACCGGCAGATGTGCCTACTGCAAACACTTGTAGGATCTCAGGAGCCAAAGGCCTGTATTCATATCCTGGTTCCAACATTTACCAGTCATGTGACCCCGGGAAAGTGACTTAACCTTTTTGTGCCACAGTTTCCCCATCTTTAAATAGGGATAAGACTAGAGATGCCTCAAAAGCTGTTGTGAGGATAAAGTGAGTGAGCATCTGGAAAGCGCTCACAGAGTGCCTGCACAGAGGGAGCCCCACACAAGGGCTTGCTGTCATTACGGCCTGGGGCTTCCTGAGCCCGCTAGGGGAACAGGATACCATGGCTTTCTCTGGGGACTCCTAGGAAGAAATGGCTTGGTTTATACTTGCTTCAAAGTGACTAGGTGGTCCTTCTTATTAGATCCCAGAGAGAAAGCGTGGCCCAATCTCTTCTAGCCTCTCCTCTGAGCTCTTCTAGACTCCCCAAAGGCATGCTAGGAGGGAGAGGGAGGCCATGGCCCCTGGGGCTCTAGGTGGGCTCAGCTAGGTCATGTCCAGCCTGCCCAGGGATGTCTGCCAGGGCTGTCAGCTGGCAGACCTCACACGCCTGGAAGCAGGCAGAATGTACACAGATCCATCTTCACCAGGGTGTCTCTTTGTCCAATGGAAGACTTCCTGCTCCCCATCGGCTTCTCACAAGGATTTAGAGACATCCAGAGGCAAATGCAGAGCAGTGCCAACTTGACCTCCAAGATCAGTCCTTAGAAAGCCTAATCAAGGCACTTTGTTCCCTCTGAAGACTAAAGAGGCACAAGTTTTCCTGAGGACTGCTCTGTACCTAACACTTCATCTGTGCAACTTCCCTTCCTGGCAGTTTAAGATCCAAATGCTGAACAGCTGCACTGTTCTCATTTACAATCTATCTCTGTTCCTAAAGCTGGAGCAGATGTGCAGCTTCCTGCAAGGAAAGCCACACAAAGGGCCCCTCTATGCCAGCCAGGTCACTGAGCTCCTCTCCCAGAACCCGGGTCACAGGCACCCACCGCAGTGCGCATGCGCCCCTACTCCTGCTGGCCTGGACCAGTGGAGACTGTACCTCATAAAAAAATGACGGAACCCTCCAGCTGGCAAAGCCTGCAAGTTTCCGTGCGTTTACATCACCAAATGGAGCTTTGTTGTGCCTCTTACACAAGAACATTAAGAAAAGGCTTCACAAAAAATCCCATGTTTCTCAGCTCCGCCCTCAGATCAGCTCTGCTGTAGCCCAAGTGCTTTCCGAGGTCTGTCTCTTCCGGCCTCTTGTCCCAACCTGGGGCAGGCACTGTCACTCCCCCAGGTCCGTGATAATAATGAACTATTATCTTTACCTGTATGTTCTCCTTGTGGCAGGCATGGTGCTAAGAGATTGAAATGCTCCTGACGATTCCCCTTAACAACTCTAGGAGATCAATACTATTATTATCTTCACTTTTTTAAACAGATGGGCAAATCAAAGCTGGGCAAGGTTAAATAACTTGCCGAGAGTCACATGTCGAGTAAGCAGTAGAGCTGAAATATGGATTCAGGCCGGGCTGACTTAACCAATGCTCCCAACAGCAAATAATAATAGTAGCTAATATTTATTGAGTGCTTATTACATGTATCAGCACTTTTCTAAGTGTTTTATGCATACTGATTCTTTTAATCCTCACAACCCAATCTATGCGGTGGGTTGTATTAATAGTCCCATTTCATGGATGATGAAACTAAGGCAAGGAAGGCTAAGCCTGTAGTACCATCAAGCCCTCAGGAAGGCCAGGCTCAGAAGTGCCTGGCTGCTGGTGAGCCGGGGGGCCTGTGTGTGAACGGCGCCCTCCCGGCAGCGCCCCTGCCCCTAGGCGCACTCACTGCTGCAGGTCTTGCCGTTGGGGTCCAGCGTGTAGCCCCGGCGGCAGCGGCAGTAGTGGCCCTCCTCCGTGTTGACGCATTCGTGCTCACAGCCCGGTTTGTTCAGTGCACAGTAGTTGATTCCTGAGGGGAGAAAGGGCAGACGCTTCTTCAGGCTCTGGGCTTCTTCCAGGGCTGTGATGTCAGCCCCTGCCAGTAAATATTCTGGAAATACGGTGCTACATAGGACAGAGGGAAAAGAGTGCCTGCTCTCCAGGAGCCTGTTGGAAAGAGAACCTGGTTCCTGAAGTGTGCCTCTGGATTCGCCAGCACTGGTCTTTTTCCACTTTAATGGCCAAAGGGCTGAGAAATGGGTTGAGGACCACGGTCCCCAGCCAATCCCCTTCCAAGAAAGATGGAAAAGCTGAGGAAACCCAGTCTCTTCTGTGAGTTAACCTGATCACTAGAGCTCAGCATGTGGGGAGATGCCACCTGCAGTGACATGGGACAGCCCAAGGCAGAATACACAAAAGCTGATCTTACAAGATATCCCCCTATTTCGGAGAGGCACGAAGGGGCAGTCACATTAAGAAGGGTCCAAATGCTTAACCTCGCCCTGGGGGAGATCACGACAGCATCTGGATCAAGAACCTAGAGAGGACACATCTCTGATGCTGCGCCGGGATGTTGCAGTTCTGTTCTACAGTAATATTCACCCCCATCCAAGCCGTGTTTCTGCCAGCAGTTGGAAGTGGCATCATAACCAGCAGCCAATTAGCAATTCCATTTCCTGGTCCTGAAAAGGCTAGAACCACAAAACCCCACAAAGAGCAGGCTATGGAGGAGAGGGAGAGCCGTAAAAGAAAATAAATGAGCTTGTGGACTGCCTTTATGAGACTGGTGTTGGAGGAAACGGTCCCCACCAACCTCAGGGGCTGAGCTGGATCAGTTTCCTTCATTGTTCTTTCTTCTGGGGATGCGGCGCCACTGCTGGCTGCCTTGCCAACAACCATTCCACTGTCTTCTTGGACTAGAATCTTGACTCCCCACGCATGAATCATGACTGGTCTAAGCCAGCCTGGCAACTATGTTCTCCTTTGTCAGTGATTGGTCTAAAGGTGGGAATATGCCCTAGTTCTGGCCAGTGAGATGTAAGGAGAAATTTATTGGGGCCCCTAGGAAAGATTTTCCTTCCTGAAAAAACAAAGACGTATGAAGAGAAGTGCTTTTTTCTACCTTCTTTCCTTTCTCTCTTTGGATCTAGTAGTGTGAGGATATGATGCCTGGATCTGCAGCAACTGTCTTGTAGCTATGAGGTGACAAGCATGAGGATGAAAAGTTAACATGCTTTAGCAGAGTAAAAGGACAGAAAGAGTCTGGGTTCTTGATAACATCACTGAGTCACTGAGCCAACCCTGGGATCAACCAGCTCTGGATCTGTTGGGTAAAAAGCAAATGACGTTAAATGGCTTAAGAGATCATTAGTTGGATTTCCTGTTTTGCCTGACTAAAAATCACCCTAACTGTTACAGGAGAAATGATCTGAAACCAGAAAGAGAATGCACATATTTTATTTTTATTTATCATATTTCTGCCGAAAAAGTATTTGAGGAAGTTTACATACACAACTAACCTGAAGACGGAACACATGTCACCCTCTTGCTTCAATGGCTCCTCACTGCCCTGGTTAACCTCTACCTTCCTTCATAGTCAGCTCAACGTCATTTCCTCAGCGACACCCTCGGTGAACTCCCTGATGAAGCCGTCCTAGAGGACCTTTCTTTCACAGCATTCATCACAATGGTTATGTAGCATTTTTATGTGATGCCTCAATGTCAGCTTCTTTCATAGACAGTGAGTTCCACGAGCTGGGACCACGTCATTTCTGTTTTTCCAATGGCTACCTCATTGGAAACAGTCCAGTAATACAGTTAATGATGATAACCATAGTTGCTGCCATTTCATAAGCACCTGCTGTGTGCTTAAGAATTTCATTGGACTCTATGAGGTTATGTGCTATTATTATCCATTTTTTAAAGATGAGGAGGAAACGGGGTTTTAGAGAGGTTAGTACCTTACTCAGGATCCCATAGCCAGTAAAAATGGAGCTGTGAATGGAACCCAAGACCTGAGGGATCCCAGACCCATCCCTTAAAGGGTCCATGATGTGCCCTCGCAGGTGAGGTGGGTGGAACTTTCTACGTGCACAGAGTACGAGCAGAAGTGGTTGCGGACTGAGCACACGGAGAGAACTCCCATGACACTGGGGCTGGTCTACGAGAAGAGATGCCACCATCTGTGTCATTGACCCCGTGGCACTCTCTCTGTCACTCATCCCTTCTGCATGAGGAGAGCAGAATATCGTGAGTTGTGTGCAGTTTCAGTTCATTGCCTGGAAGTCATCCTCACCTGGGTGGAACAGAATGGGACGCCAGGAAACACACACAGAGCTTCAATGAAGGAAACAGGCCTGGCAATAAAACACCAACCACATACAGACAGACAAACAAGCAACCAATCAAACAGACACAGAACACAAAGGGCCCCTCAGTCTGGGGCCACATGGTGTAGGGCCTGCAGGAATCACTTCATTATGCCATCAGAGAAAGGTGAAATTATCTTCAGTAAACTCTGCTTTAAAAAGCCAGCATTCAGCCACTGTGGAAACAGTATGGACATTCCTCAAAAAATTAAACACAGATTTACCATTTGATCCAGGAATTCCACTTCTGGGTATATGCCCAAAAGAACTGAAAACAGAATCAAACAGATACTGCATGTCCACATTCACAGCAGCATTATCCACAATAGCCAAAAGGTGGAAGCAACCCAAGCATCTATTGGTAGAAGAACAGATAAACAAAATGTGGCATACCCATACAATGGAATATTATTCAGCCTTAAAAAGGAAGGAAATTCTGACACATGCTAGAACATAGATGAACCTTGAAGACATTATGCTAAGTGAACTAAGCCAGTCACAAAAGGACAAATATTTTATGATTCCACTTACATGAGGCACCTAGAGTAGTTAGATTCATAGAGACAGAAAATAGAATGGTGGTTCCAGGGGCTGGGGGAGAGGGGCAATGGGGAGTTAGTGTTTAATGGGGAGAGAATTTCAGTTTGAGGGGATGAAAGAGTTCTGGAGCTGGATGGAGATGATGGTTATATAACAATGTGAATGTACGTAACGCCAGGAACTGTATATTTAAAATGATAAATTTTATGTTATGTATATCTTACCACAATTTTTAAAAAGCCAGCATTGTCTTCAAGAAGGATTTACATAAAAAATAATTAAACCGAAAAACATTCAGATTCTTAAAGATGTTATCCCTCAGCTATCCGGCAAACAGCAACTCAAAACAGAGTCCTCTCCAAATGGTTCTTACGGCAGAAGTTTAACTGTAGATCTTTGCCTTCTTTACACACTTGAGTCATATCTCTTCACGTGTGTTACTTAGCTATTCACTCACTCATTTATTCATTCAATCAGTATTTATTGAGTAGCTACTATGCACCCCATATCTGGCTCAGTCTCCTCACTATCCGGGAAGTGCTACATATGGGCCTGGCTTGGCTGTAGCTTTATCTAGTAAAGCCCAGAGCGCCCGGTAAACCCCTGCGAGATCAGACAGCAGAACTGTCAGATAACAAATTCAACAGCACTTATGAGTGCCAACTCCTGAAGGAGCTGGAGACCTGACTGAGGAGGTAAGACATAAAAACATGAAAGATTAGTGACTCCAGACAGTAAATTATAAAGCCAATGGAGTGGCACAGATACTAAGTTTCAGAAACATTGGACAGGCAACAAAATGTTAAAGCAGGAAGTAGTGTTCTTTCAGTGTAGGAAATCGGGTCCAGAGAAGTAAAGCAGCCTATCTGAGGTCACATGGCCAGTATGAGTGACACTGCCAAGACTGGCCCTCACGTCTCCTGGCTCAGTCCCACCTGTGAACCCCACCCCAGCTCTTCAGAGTGTGCTGTGTCCAGCTACAGGATCACCAGTCATGGTGCCAGCATGAGCAATCCTGGAGCCCAGCACATGGGGTCACACCCACATCTGATTCCACCCTCAGGCCCCACCTACACAGCCACGCCAGTCCTGGTTTCTGCGCCTTGCACCACCGCCTTAATGATTTATGCCTTAAATCGATGAAAGCACTTTCCAGAAGGAGAAATTGCGCCTGGATGAGGAGGAAGAACATATCCCGGCCAAGACTCTTTTCCTCAGCAGGAGTCTGCTTTGAACTTTTTTTTCCTGTCTAATTGGATGACATCAAATTCCTTTGGAAAATAGATTTCTTATTAGATTTGAAAACAGCCCACATCCATCAACTGCCTATTAAATGTAAATGGCTGTACCCTGAGCTCAAGATTTGTAATGCTCTCGAGATCCTCAGACTCCTAATACCAAACTCCAATTTTAAACCCAAATTCTTTGCTTCCCTCTTCCACATAATGCTCCAGAGAGAGAGTGAGCGCTCACTTCCATTAGCATCTGTCTGCCATTATGGACCGAGTGTAAACATTAAGTCAGGGGCAGCTCTAAGAGGCTGACCTCAGGAGTGGAGGGCTGGGTTTGCAGTGAAGACAATGGAAAATGTAACGATGAGGCAGGATGTTGAGAGAAGGGCTGATGAGGACACCGGGTTTTAGAAATAAATTCCATTTTTCTTGGATGAAAAAGTAGGACACCTGGCTCAAGAGGAAATGGAGTATAATCACTGACTATTTACGAATGAGCATTAAGGACTCTGGACTGGGCCTTACTGCAAACAGACCCATCTGTGGGCCGATTTGTGGTGGTCAAACTACTGCCTTAGATCCTTCCGTAATTCCAACTGCCTCCCAGGCAGGATGTGGAGGGAGTGGCAGAGATCGAGGGAATCTTGGATGATTAGTAAGAGATGCAGAGCTTCAAGCAAATTCCCTGCCACTGATGGCCACATGCCTAATTTGTTTCCTTTTCCCTTCAGTAGCAACACACAGTGAAGCTTGAAACCACAGTGAGTGTCTGAGTTGAACCAGATCTAATTATCTACCACGTAAGAGCTTGTGGTCCACAAATGTAAGTCTACCTGTGAGTGATTTCCCTGGGTGTAGTTAGCCACTGACATGCTCACCCCTAGTAAAAGGTGTAAATAGCATAGAGAGGAGTGACCAGGCCAGAAATGTTGGCCCTCCAATATATTGTATGCATGTGTGGGCTAATGGAAGATATTCCATCTAACTGTTTTCACATTCTGAATGCTCTCAGATAAAATTCCCATTTAATGCCTGCATATTTCCAGGGTTTGCATCCATGCAAGGCAGTAGAAATTATCTTTTATAAGATAAGCTCAGTTTCAAAATATGGGCTCTGCAACCATCTGCCACTGCTGTAACGCTAATCAGAATGAGCATGTAAGTTCATATGTGCTGTAAGCAGAATGTGGCTTGTCCGGATTCAGTTACACAGACCATGGTGCTTTTCGAAAGAGATATATGGTCGAACCTTTGAAAATTCAGTCCTGCAATGCAGAACACTGCTGTACGTCTCACCAGGAAGAAGCGGGCAAAGGAGCACATAAGAAAATACGTCCCTAAATGGAAGCTCCAGAGAGTTCTGTAAACAACACTGTCAGGAGAATGTGAATAACTCAGTGTGCATAAGTGTGCTCTGACGATGGCAACACTTTTTGAAAAAATCCACAGTCTGCATGCCTTAAAAAGGCCATCTTTCTAACAAGATTGAGTAGTTCAAATAATAGTTGCAATTTCTCCAGGGCGATAAAGCTCAGAGAGATCCACTTATTCATTCAGACATTTAATAAATAGTGTCACACCTACACGTGCTAAACACTTTGAGGTGTTGAGAATCCAAGAGTAAGAAAAAGATAAGAATCTCTGTTCTTGTGGACCTTCCATTCTAGTGGTCTCTCAGGGACAGTCTGGTTTAAAGAGATCTCATTTGGGGTCCACGCTCTAGACCCCGGGTCAAGCCCCTTGATGTGCCAGATGACAGGCATTTGAGTCACTCAGCACATGCTTAAGATCATCCTGCTGACACCATGCACCTCTTGAAGGCTGTGGGGATGCCCCAAAGCCTTATGTTTTTCTTCCTTCATATCAAAGAGGATAGGATAGACCTGCAAATTCCCTCCTCTTAGTAGCCATCAAGCATCTTATCTTGTAGGACTGGAAGAAACTGGTTCCTTTTACCTACTGTCTCTGGGCCCAGGCTTTTCTTTCGCAAGTCTGAAATACATGTTGTGGGGATGAGAAGGAGGGAGGGTGCGCCCTCATTTCAGATAGGTGGGAGCTGCAGCGTGGGCCTCGACTTTGCTAAATGAATCCAATGGGCAGACCCCGTCTATTCAATCTCTAAAAATCATCCCCCTCACAGGATCAGGTGAGACAAAAGGTAAAATAAAGGGCAGAATCATGTCAGTAAACACAGAACAAGTATACCTGCTTAAGAGTTGCAAGGAAAAGGAAAACCAGCAGGGCACTCAGTGGAACAAGCCCTTCTCCAACACCCAGTGCAACTTACTTCTGCAGGTTCTCTTATCGGGATTCAGGATAAAGCCTTTCAGGCAGCGGCAGGAATAGGAATCGTCTGTGTTAACACACTCGTGCTGACATCCATGATTAGGCGAGGCACAGTGGTCTATCTCTGGAAAGAAAGAAAAATCATAATAATGACCAACAAAACGATAAATCTAGCACAGGAAAACTGAGGGATTTTTCAGTCTTAACTTTTTCTAAACAAATAAATTCCCGTGACCTCAAACACTCACGCCATGAAGGGATCTCTCAATGAAGCTATTTTCGTGTTTAGGGATATGACCCCCCAGTAAGAGAACTTTCTTGACATGTTACAAAATGTTTATGCAACAAACAAATTTGTGAAGATGGTTTCCTTGTCTTGGTTCATGTAACAACCACTAAAATGACAGTGTCATTGAGTGTTTGTCATATCACAGGCTGGGAAGAGAGAGCTTAACTGAATGTTTTATGGAGTTTATGCAATTAAAGCAAAGAAATCTTCACAAAGTCAAACTCCCAACCACTTAAATTCCTCAAACACTGAGCCAAACAATAGGATACAAAGTCAGATCCTGGGAAAAAGAAGCCCTAGGATTGAAAGGCATAGATACTCTGAGTGCAAAACACCTCCTTCATTATACCTCTGGACTCATCTGCACCTGCATCTTCTCAAGGTTTCACAGTCTTATGATTTCTAGCTACCATTAATTTAAACCAAAATATTAAGGAAAAAAAGATCACATGGAATTTTTTATAATGGGATTTTATTTGTATAAGTATTTTTAGATACGGAAAGAGACTTCTATTGAAGGGTCTGATCAAAGTATTTTGCTGTACTGGAACTTGGATGCACTGTTTAAAATTGGCTGAAATAATTGGCCACTGGCAGGGTCTTAAACAGGATCTTTTTGTTTTGATGAGAATTTTTATTGTTTTAACTACATATGTTATTTTCACAATGAAGAATTTGGTATAAATGAGAGTTTTCCCAGCCAGTACCAAAGGAAACAAGAGAAAGGCACACAATATTCTTGAAAGGAAAAACATTGAGAAGATGCCAATTCTTCCCAATTTAAAGTCATGGAAATTGTGAACATACACAAATATGGACAGAATAGTATGATAAATCCATATACACATCACTCAGCTTCAAGAGATCAATGCATGGCTGACCTTGCTTCAGCTATACTCCCATCCCTCATATTAAGGCTTCATGTTATTTTGAAGCAAACCCCAGATGTTATATAATTTTATCCATAAATATTTCAGAATGTACCCTTAAAAGACTGGAACTCTTTAAAAAAAATAACTGCAATAATATAATCACATATTAAGGCACCAAAAAAAACCTTTTTATTTGGAAACTATTTCAAACTTACAAAAAGCTGCAAACATAAAAATTTAAGTATGTAGGTACAAGAAACACATATATACTTTCTACCCAGATTCATCTATTGTTAATATTTTACACTATTTGCTTTATCATTTGCTTATCTCTCTGAACTATTTGAGGATAAGTTACATACATCCTGGTCCTTTTTCCTCAAATACAGTGTGTTCTTCCTAAAAAGAAGGATATTCTCTCTCTCTTTTTTTTTTTTTT